GCTTCTGAGTTAACAGATTTCTTCTATCTTATGTGAGGGGCACTTCTGCAGTTCTGTCAGCATTCCATCCCTGGAGATGTTCAAGAACTACAGGGATGTGGAACTTCAAGACATGGTCAGCAGGCATGGTGGGGGTGAGCTGGGGTTGGGCTTGGGGATCCGGGAGGACTTTTCCAATCTCAATCATTCTATGATTGTGTTTTATGCTTTGAATTGACTGTGACATTTGTTTCTGCACCCCCAAAGAGATGTGTTCTGGTTCCCCTCTGGGATTACAGACCCTGGTTGCTGTGCTATCTTTCTTCTCAAAGTTTCTATGAAATGCACAACCAAGAATTCCTATATGCTGAGCTATGTCAGCATGCACCTAACTTTAATCACTATAATAAACACAATTTTAATTTATATTTTTCCGTATAAGTTAGATCTTGCCTACACACAGGCTTGCACCATTTAATTACAGAGATTTAAACAATATAAGCCCCTTCCTGGATGTACTCATTATAAAGCTAAGTTCCAACTCATTCTCAACAAGTTCAGCAGCTGGGCTTACTCAAATAGGAGAGCACCTGCACCAAGGCTTGCCCAGTTAGACAGACAGGTCATTAATTCCAAGAGCCAGCTGAGTGCTGACAGCTTCACCAGTTATTTTTTGACCCCAAGTCCCATGAAAACGTTCTAGATCTTTTTTTCCTGGAATCTTAGAATCACAGTATCACTGAACTTGGAAAAGACCACTCAGATCATCTAGCCCAATCATCAACCCACCCCCACCACACTTGCTCACCCTGTCTCCAAGGTTTTATGATTCTGTGAGTGGGCATGGTAGGGATGAGTTGGGTTTGGACTTGGTGATGATCTTATTGATCTTTTCCAACCTTAACGATTCTATGATTCTACGACTCTGAAGCAAGCATCCTATTCTGGCCAAAAAACACTCACTGGGCAGCAAGGACATCAGGACTCTGGAAACAGAACTCCCATGACAACGTACTGATTTATGCTTCTTGGTGCCATGATGATTAAGGATTTCTTCTCCACGAAACAAACACAAGTTGAAGGAGTTGGAAGCACACTGCTAACAGAAAGGGAAACCCATGAGAAAACCTTTCAGCACGTAGTGCAAAGCTTGTTCTGCCCAGACTGAAGGCATTTACCAGTGCTCCTTTTAATTATTCTGTGAAATTTTAATGCTGTGAAAATGAAAATGCACTTTAATATTAGATTTTGTAATATGGCAAAAAGGTGTGAGTTGGCAGCATGACGGCATGGCTGGTAACATCAGAACACACAACAGCATGCACATCTGTGACAGAAGTACCAACTGACACAGGGAGCAAAGAAGTGGGTTGGTGGTCGGACTTGATGATCTTGGAGGTCTTTTCCAATCTTAACAATTCTGCGATTCTAGGAAGCAGGGAAAAAAACAAAAGCATCTCAAACAACATTCATGACCATGAGGTTTCTGATTAAACCAGTACAGCTGGTGGGAAGTTCTTTTTTGGGAAAATGTGGCCTTCCAACTGCGATCAGTCCATGAACCCAAGTGTCAGCCTCCAGCCAGCAGCTGGCATTGCAAACAAGCTTTCCCACGTGCCACAGAAGAGCAGTTATCTGTTGGCTGCTCCCTTGAAACCCCGAGATAACACGCAGTCTCCAGGCACCGCTGTGCTGCTCTCACGCTGAAAACACACGCACTGCACCAAAGGGAGGAAAGGCAGCCTGAGAACTTCACAAAATAAAAATAAAGGAGACCAATTTTCACCTATCATTGTGATCTCTAAATTGCCTTTAATAAGCTCTGCAATAAAGCAGGGAGCCTGGGATTCGGCTGTTCATCCGCGAGGAGACAGTCCTATCTCCAAACCACGGCTGCTGCTCTGTCCCAGGCACATCAACTGCATTTATCTCCTCCTACATACCAAGGAGAAACGAGCAGCTCTTGATTTCAGCACCTGCCCTTTATCTCCGTGTTTTTGGAAAAATCTTCTACAAGGCTAATTATCCAGCTTGGACTTCCTTTCCCTTCCACAGCACAGAGCTAAAAGCTAAAAAAATGTCGTGTTTGCTCCAGGACTAAAGGGAAAATAGGACTTGCATCCCTCATTTCCCAACAATTGTTTGCAGGCACAGGCCCACATACATGACCCGCTGCTAACACACATGTCCCTGTGTCACACAGCGTTTCCCACAGGGAAAGGAGCACTGGAGTGTGCTATGACACTGATAAGCTCCATTATGCAGATTGGGATCATGGTGGTGAGTTATTTTTAGGTTACCTTTATTCATGTTGGAACGATCGCCTGAGCAACAGACTCCAGATCTGAATGCACAGAACGCCTCTCGAACGCTCACTTCCTCAACAAAAGCCAAGATAAGCAGCAGGAAAACATTCACTATATTTATCTGTGCATAAACCGCATACTCATACATGAGAAAAAATACCGTTGTTTGGGTTGTGGAGAAGCAAGGGAGTTAAAACACTGTTCCACTGCCTGTTTTCCCAAATGAGGACCTCTGGCACCTCCTCCAAAGAGCTTAAGTTGAAGATGGCAATTTCTAGAAAACAGCAGAACCACAGAATTGTCAAAGTTGGAAAAGACCTCTAAGATGACCGCAGAGATCATTGAATCCAATCTAGACTTAGAATCAACCATGTAGGAACACCACTCCTTTACAGCACTTCAGCACCCAAAGGGAGATGGGGAAGGGTCTGAGAGTATGAGCAATGGAGTGTGAGCAATGGTCAAGGTCCCTTAGTTTAAGGGGAGGTCTCACGGTGGCCTGCAGCTCCCATACAGCCCTCCAGCCCCTCATGGCCCTCCAGCCCCTCATGGCCCTTAAGCTCCCTTGTGCCCTACAGCTGCCAGAAACTGCGTGCTGCTCATGAAACATTTGTACACTGCTCTGAGCCACAGGGTTTGAGTTTAGGTGGTGCTGTGTAAAGCCAGGGGTTGGACGCAGTGATCCCTGTGGGCACCTTCCAACCTGGGACATTCTGTGACTCTGTGAAAAAGCAACAATGGCCTGAAAATTACTTAGTAATTAACTGAAAAGCTGATCCAAGAATTCTCAGGACTAAACTCCATCAATTTGCACACTGTAAATCCACGTGGGTCATGTCAACCCCAATGCAACCCATCATTCCTCCATACGTTCCTGAAGTTGTCTTGATCGCAGCCAACTCCAGAATCCACTTCCGTGAGCTGGCCATGCCCAAACCAAGGTCTTTTAGAAAAATGTCCTTCAGAGGCATTTTGGTCCGTGCAGCAAGACAGCCTCCAGCTCACACACGGGAGCTCACTGAGCCCATTGTGCATTGAGCCAACGTGGGTAGGGCTTCTCCACCCATCCAGGCATGCCCAGAGTGCCATTACAGACACGAGGATTAAAGCTTTCTCCTCTATTTAGCTGCTGAAATTCCTCGGAGCTGCCAGCACTATTGTGCAACTCAATCTTTAGTCTGATCTCACTGTGGTTTTGTCAAGCTTTGGAAGAGCTTCCCCTTGAAACCTCAGAGACTGCAGTGGGAAGACCTGAGAAATGGCGAGACTTGGAAGACCCCTGCAAGAGAAGGGCAGACGGCACTAAGGCTTACCATGTGATGTCTATAAAGAGGAATTGAGTGCTATTCAATTGCAGTGTTATTACAGAGAAAAGGAGTTTGTGCCTCTACAAATTACTGCAGCAATTACAGATTGCAGGTCAGTGTCACCAGCTTTCTCCGGGCAAGAAAGCAACTAATGAAAGACCAAACCATTGGTGCACACAATGTAAACTTGAGGGGACTTCACTCCTGAAACAACACTTCCATAAATTGTGGCCCAACACGAAAGTCCATTCTTCTTTTCTTTTCTTTTTTTTTTTTTTCCTAAGCAACAAACTCACTTACAGATGGCTCTGTCAGCAGTCACTGCAGTCCCATAACAAAAGAGCTTTTAATTATTTGCACGTATGAAAATGCTGTCACAAAAAAGCAGCCCATCTCTTTCAAAGTAACAGCCTGGCCAAGTCACTGCACGCACTGTCCCAGGGATGCTGGGAGCTGCAGGAAAGACATCATGCATGCAGACAGCTGGACAATTCCCACAGGGTGTTTCAGGATTACCAGGGTATAAACTAATTACCGTCATTGCCAGTGGCCACGTGTACTCTGCACTTCTCATCAGATGGTATTTTCCTGAAGTTATCACAAAAAAATGAGGCTTGAGAAGACACTCCTGCTCTCTTATCATGGAGTAAGAACAGAAATGGCTCTGCAGAGACCAGGAAGTATTTAAAACACTCTTGGCACAGTGGAGAAGCAAACACTGTTGTTAGTGTTAAAAAAAAAAAAAAAAAAAAAAAAGCCAATAAACAACAAAATACCATATTGCTCCCATTTTCTTCCTTACCTACTTTAACAGATTCTGTTATCACGGCATTTAAGCACCGCACAGCCCATAATGGATTTCAGCCTCACAAAACTCATCAAGGCACTGAATCCCTCCTGGATCTGAGGCTCTCAGAAGACCATGGAGGCTCTGCTCAGGATTACACACAGCTTACCACCACACTGACCAGCCTTGAACTGATTTTCAGTGGGATGGTTTATCCAGAACCCAAGACTGAAGCCCCCAGAATTCATCTTCATACCATTTTATACAGACTCACATGGAGATGTGGAACACCAAGGAAAGAATGTGCCAATAAAAAAGAGGATGATGACAGCCTCGTTCCATCTGAATAGGCAGAGAGGTGAGACTACATGTAACAGATATGATGAAGAAAATCTCTGCCTCAGCAAATCTTACTTCCTCCACGCTTCAATTTAATGACTGGTCAAGAAAACTCACCCCAACATTTAGCACAAACCAGCCATATAATTAAACCACAGAGATACTGTGATCAACCGTGGAGTCCCTCATCCACTGCTATTGATGTTCCAATGTCACAGATACAAAGTGTGTGTATGTAATTACCTGGAATAGCATATGTTAACTGATGAGCTGAGCACTTACCCTGAGCCTGTCCTTGGGCAAAGCCACAGCTCCCTGCTTGATGATCTCCAGAACGCGCTCTACCGACAGGTCAGCTCCGGCGTGCTCCAACCGGGAGCTGAAGAAACTGATCACCTGTGATGGAGAATCAGAGCACGTCAGCAAACGGAAGGGATCTTTGTATCAATATACACACAAAGCCATTGTTTTCTTTTCCTGGGTTGATGTCTCTGCACTTCTTAAAGCAGTACGTGATTGCTGGGGCATCATTAGGTACACTGCACGGGTGAGACATCGTCCCAACTGTCAGCCTTCTGCGGGTATTTTTAAGGGGTGGATGAATTCTCTGTTTAACACATTCAGTTGAATTAGTCAAATAAGGTTTTCAAACACCGCACAGCTCAGCATTCTTCAGCTCTTACCCTTTTCATGCACACAGGACTTTCAAGGCATTCCTGTTGACTTTTTGTAGTTTAGGCCAGAAATTTACTGTAGTTTTCAAGTATTAAAGCAAAACTCTTGTATTTACAATGTTTACTCAACAGAGGGCTCAAGAACAACCATTAAATGTCTTAGTACAGCTTCAAGGGTCTACAGGACTCACTTGGAGATTTTGTAGCATCCAAACCGATGGCAACTGGGGAAAAAAAGCAAACCCACCAAGCTGCCATTCTCCCCAAATGAGCCATCCTCGTGTATCTCCCCCATCAGGAGGCAAATCCCAGGACCAAGGACCCATACACTCCCTCTCAGTGCTCTCCTGCATTCATCCCTGAAGAGGCCTGATTTTCCCCAGGCATCCCCCTCAGCAACCCTTTTGTGTCCCAGCTGATCCTTGTTAGCACCCCACAGTTGTGTCAGATCAACTTTCATCCCTCTCCAAGCCCAGTAAGTCACAACAGCAGCCAACATCCCACTCGTTCTCCACTGGGGACATGAGAAACCTTCCAGAGCTCTTTTCACTGCAAAAGAACACACCCCTCTTCTAGAGGAGATCTGATTGATGGATATGGGGCCAAGCTTAAATCCCTCAAGTTCTTAGAAGGTCCCATAGGATGGTTGGAGCCATTTTGCACTGCCCTTGGCCCCCTGGTTGGAGCCACACGCAGCTCTGGGCACACTACTGCTAGGTTTCTTGACTTGTAGCCTTCTCTGCACAGTGGCAATGCCACAGGTGTCCAAATTACAGCCTCGTCACACCAACTAATCTCTGCTAATACTCCCAAGTAAAAGGGGGAAAAGTATATTGGCTGCAAAATCTATTTGTTCTGCAGCAACTGGCAGCTGGAGCCAGAACCCATTACCCTAATTGTACCTCCTAGCTCAGCTGCTGCTCACAAAACAAAGGCAGCTGATGGCATGACTGCTTTGCAATTTGGGTTTGTTGGTCCTCTCCTGTGATTCCAAAGCCATAGCCCTCTTTTTGGGCAGCTGGATCTCAGAGCAACTTTCTCTGGATACTGCAGAACAACAACTGAGTGGAACAGGGAGAGATGGTTTGGCTCTGTTTTATACAACAGAAACATGGCAATCATTCAATGGAAAATACAGGCTTGACCTGCTTGGCCCTCTTGATATTGCCGTGGTCATGTCATGTAAAGCAAGAATCCCCTCCCCCTGGCTGATGCAGCAGGGTTTGCATCCTTACAGACAGGGATGGACTGCAGCGCTGTTGATTGCTAATCCTTGCAAAAAGCAATGGGGTAGGAAGATTGCTGAGTTCAGATGTAAAGGTTTTGCTAAACCACAACAAAGGCAAAAATTAGTGTTAGGCTTTAATCGGAAGGATAAAACACAATCATCAAATGTATACACAGAAAGTGAAGGAAGCTTGCAGATGCTACCTGAAATCCGGTGGCTCCTACTGTAGGAAGCCAAATGCTCCACTCTGACCATGTTTTAAAGATTTCTGTGCTTTAGAATTACAGATGTTATAGTCCAGAGAGCTCCCAATATTTGCACGCATGTTACAATTACACAGAATTCTGAACTGCTATTTTTGATGTGCAGACTAAAGTTAAAAATATCCCCTTAAATAATAATACATATCTCTAATCTTTATTTGTCATTCTTCTTCAGGCAAAATGGAACTGGAGTTCCATATCAAGTTCTTTCTAACCCTGCAATGAGATATGGTTTAGGAGAAAAGCAAGAGATGAGTGACAGGCAGGACATCCCAGAAGAGGCATCTGCTTATGGCCATTATATGCAAAGGCACCCAGTGTGACTACCATCCCTGTATGAACTAGAGGACGTGGCAGGGTGGAAGAGGAGTCAGCTGAGTGCCATCTCTTATTCAGATCTGCAAGCCTGAGATCTCTCAGCACTTGCCAACTGGTGACAGGTATATTCTTTAGAAAATCTTTTTTTGGTTTTTGTTTTTTTTTTTACATCCTTGCTTCTGTAACAAAGGGGCTATTTAAAAACGCAGTGTGCTCCCTTGGAAAGCTTTAAATAGTTTTAGAATGTAATTGGCATTATGCTGTAACCCTGTATTAAATACATTTGGGGAGGAACTGTAACTGTTTAAATTGCTGAGGAAAACCTACAGTTAGCTGTAACAAAGGAAAGGACACGCTGCTTTCTGTGGCAGGCACGAAGCTGGCAGGCAGAAGGACCTGGCCACCAAGGTTTGCCTTGGACAAGCAGAAAGGTCTCTATCTGTCATAGAATCACACAATGGTTGGGTTGGAAGGGAACTTAATGATCACAGAACTACTGAACGGTTGGGTTGAAAGGGACCCTAAGTTCCCCAGACCCACCCCTGCTGTGGCTGGCTGCCCCCAGCAGGTCAGGCTGCCCAGGCTCCCCTATGGCCTGGGACACCTCCAGGAATGGGGCACCCACAGCTCTTCAGGCAGCAGAGCCAGGGCTTCACCACTTTGAATGAGGAATTTTCTCCTCACATCTGACCTAAATCTTCCCTCTTTTAGTTTAAAACTCCCAAATCCTTCTCCATGGGGCTGCTCTCAGTGAGTTCTTCTCCTGGCCTATACACATCTGGGGTTGCCCTGACACAGCACCCTGCATTTGGCCTTGCTGAACCTCATTAGGTTCATGTGGGCCTGCTTTTCAAGCCTGTCCAGGTCCCTCTGGATGACATCCCTTCCCTCTCCTGTGTCAGCTGCACCACTCAGCTTGGTGTCATCTGGTGTAAACTGCTGAGACTTCACTCCATCCCATCATCTGTGTCATTCTCAAAGATGTTGAAGAGCACCAGCTCCAAACAGACCCCTGAAAGAACCACTCATCACTGCACCCACCTGGATGTAGAGCCGCTGACCACAGCTCTGGCTGCAACCATCCTCCAAACAGTCCAGCTTTCAAACCCATTTCTCTCCAATTTAGAGATAAGAATCAATATAGAGATGATAGGTATTTCCCACCTCCAAGAATAACAAAAAAGATCAAATAAAGAAGCATACGCAGCCTCGAAATAAGGGATCACCCACCAGATCTATGTTCTGCATGATGTCCTGGAAGGAGGGGTGGGTCCGGAATTGCTCAAACAGATCGCGCTTGTAGAGCAGCGCGTACACCAGGTTGGGGTTGTGGTGGAGGGAGTTGGTCAGGCAGGAGTTGATGATCTCCAGCATCATCCGGATCACCTCCTCAATCACATTCAGGTCTTGTGCCTGCAAGAAAGAAATAAAGGTGAGTGTACCCTTTTCCACTGTAAAACACGTTGGGTAACAAGGACAGTTCACAGTGACTATTACTAACAGAGCTATTGGCTGGTCAGTGTCTCAATGGTGAGCTAATCCAGCATCCCTGAGTATTGGCAAAGAGATCTGTTTTCTCCTGAAATCACCAAAATTTTATCTGAAATGCACAGTGTTCAGCCACAGAACTTGTTTCTCTCAGCTGGAGCCACTGACTCATCCCGATGAGCAAATATTGCAACCAAATTCACTGAGAGTTAACTTGGTCTCCCAACATATCAGCATACATTTAATTCAACACATTTTATGTTTGCTCCCTATCAGGGAGGAATAAGGTCCCTCCAGCACATTAAACAAGAGGCTGCGAGACCCCACAGGTCTGCCAGAAATGTGAATCACACCAACAGTTGAGTTTTTCTGCATGGTAGGAGCACTGAAACTACTGGCATTTACTCTTACTACCTGCAAAGCAGTCATTTTCTGAGTTATCACTCAGAAAAGGCACGTAAGTACCTGGTAATGGGGCCATACTTGTGACAGACTTCTGCTAGACTCACAGAAACATCAGGATTGGAAAAAAACCTCTGCAGTCATCAAATCAAACCCCAACCCATCCCCTCTATGCCCACTTTGAAAACTCTTCAGCAATGCTATCTGTCTAACTGTGGAGGTTACAGATTCCTTCCTGAATGTGAAGATCTCCTTTTTCAAGACTCAGCCCCAACCACTGAATTACTGCTGTGCTGACACTAACAATGGTGGCAGAAACCCTCACAAACCAATCACTGCAGCTACTTCACCTGTCCATGGGATTCCATTCTCCTTTGACTGAAGCAGTTCTGAATACAGGTGGGTCCTCTGTAGCCTTCTGGTTTGAGTGCTGTGAAATAGCATCCCACTTAGATGCCATTAAATGCAAATAACATTGCAAGTTATTTGCAAATAAAATTGCAAATAACAATGCAAAGTACTGGACAAAACGCATAGGATGTGTACAAATCCTACAACCCCGTGTACCTCCCCTACACAGTGGGAATACAAAGCAAGGATGCTTCCCAAAATCACCAGGTTGGCATCACGTGCACATATGAAAAGAGACACTCTCCCACCCCTGTGGCACAGGTGCTCTACAAGCATCTGAAACCAGATGTTAAAGTTAAAAGGATGCTTCCCTTCACTGAAGACTTTATTTTGGTGGCTGTAAGGTCACTCGAAGCTGTCCAACTGTTGAACAACCATCTTTCTGGTCTAAGACCACCTTACACAAGGAATGGGATTTGCTAAGAATGAGCTCCAATAAAACAGACGTGGGACTGAATCTCAGCATCCCTCGTCTATTATCTGTAGAGCTGCGTGCTTTTATAATTAGCGATTACAGAAGAATCTACAAAGGCTTACAAGTTTCCAAAACAGGCAAAAACAAGCAGAAAGCTAAGGATGAGACAACGGAGAAATGCTGGAAGAGCAGATAAACGTGAGTTTGTTGCTCTGCATCTGCGGTATCAAGGAATGACACCTCCACATGCAGACACTGCGCCAGGACAGATAGAATGAAAGTTACAAAAACAGCTCGGTCTTGGAGAGAAAAATAGTTTATCACCCTGCAGATTGATTCCCAGAGCAGCTGAGCACAGCTGAAATGCAGAACGTGGATGGCTGAGGCATCAGCACAACAACCCTGCAGGAATATTGCTTTTGGGCTGCACAGGCTGCTATAGGAAAAGCCAGATATTGATGTTGGAGAGGACAGGTTGATGAGTTTCTATCTATTAAGCAGCAATTAGAAGTAGTGGCACTTTCCCTGTTTATCATGGACAAATTCATGCACCGTTCGCATTGAAAATAATTGCAGTATTCCTTAACCAAACAGCTCTCAGAATGATGCCTCCATCAACAGCAATGAGTGCAAGTCTGCCCCAGTTTTTTTGTTTATTCCCTTAGAGATAACTATGTCCACCATTACGAGAAATGTGGATGCTAAGGGCTGGTTGCCAACTTTCTGAGATGGAAGCCCAAGAGAAATGTAAATTTCCATCTGAGATGGAAACCTCCAAAAGAATGGGAAGGAAATGGAGGCAAAGTGCTGCCATTACTGTTGGTAACCATAGATAAGCCTTGTTTTTCCTCTTCTGGGTAGAAATTAAATGTAATCACTTCTCGCAATTATCCCCATTTTCCAACAGAAGGAGGAGCTGGGCAAAAAGCAGAAGCCTGCTCGTGTTCTGGTTGCACGTGGAAGAAGGCAGCAGCCACAGGTAGAGAGCAGTCTCACCAATGGCTGTGTCTTTGTATTACTCTTCTGACCATGCTGTTATGTCCCCATTATATCCCCTTCCCAGATAAGGATGAGCCAGGCACAGTTCTCTTTGTCTGAGCAAAAAGGAACAAACAGGTAATAGTGGCTGCCTGGAAATAGACAGACACAATACAGAGGGAAACACAAGGAGGGCAGAGACGAGAATGTAATCTGCAAACAAAAAAAGACAAAAACAAAAAAACAGAAAAAACAAAACCCATACCCAAAAAATGTGAGTTTGATAAACGCTAACAAGAAACACAGATTGGAAGCAAAAAGCAAAAGCAACCCGTGGGGACAGCTGGAGCATCCTGAAATACCACTGCTGTCCTTACCGAAATACAATATAGAGGTAATGATGCCCTGATTCCAAAGAATTCAAAGGCAACTCTCCAGCTTCATGGTGTTAATCATTTATAGGGGAAAAAAGGAGGTATCGAGAGAGAAAATTTAGGGCTTGCATGGAATATATCCTCAAAACTGAATTCAGTTTTGTTGAGCCATCCCGTTTACAGCAGGAAAGTATCAAGCTGTTTCTGAGGACATGCAGGTACCTGAGCGAAGGTGCAACTCTGCCACTCTTTTATAAGAACACCCAATGCAATTTCATTGTTCTGACTCCTTTATAGGCGGTCTGTAGCCAGCCCAAGGCTCATCACCTGGCTACTTCTTCCCCTCTTCTTCTTTTTGTGCAGTTGCTCTTTCAAATCCCAGTGCTAAAACTCTTCATCCTGAAATACTTCAATTGATCCCCAGTAAATCAGGCTCCCAAGTCAATCTGAAGTTTCTAGACATTGGCCTAGAATGCTGAGTTTCCTAAGCTATCCTGTTAGTAAGCCTTCTCTACTTCCAAAGGAAAGATCAAGCACTCAGACAGGCCCTAAATGATGACACAGCACTGAAGTGACGGAGAGACTCAGACCTTGGCATTTTTCTTAGACTGGGATTCAGTAAGGCAACTGCAGAAGGTATTTTATGATGGAGAACTATAGATAGTCCTGCTTTCTAGCATTTCACCCCAGCCCAGCATCTGGGCTTTTGATTCCAAACTCCATTTTCGGGAACCTCCCATCTAATCCCAGTGCTGAATTCCATGCTGGAAAGCAAGGGTTGGCAAGCTTCCTTCTCCAGTGATTTGCAGATGCCAAAATGACAAATTATAAGGTCCTGTAAAACCTGGGAGGCAACCATCACTAGGAAAGATGGCAATGATGATATTCATACCATAGAAAATTCAAATTAAACATCACACTTGATTCTCTCGCTGAAAGGAAAAGTTCTCCCTAAAGATTTTCTACTCCTCCTCGAAATGAAGCAGATGAGGGACATGGTTAGTGGGATGGGTTGGGGTTGGATCTGGTGATCCTGGAAGTCTTCTCCAGCCTTCATGATTCTGTGATTCTACGGTTCAGTATTCCCTAGAGGTATATGTGAAGATGCTGTTTAGTTTGACTGGTAGAACAGGAAAGGATGAGTTTCACGTGAAACCCCACCTCCACCATCCGAGGGCAGGCAGATAATTGTGATACAGGCTTTAATTAACAGAACCTGTCTATCCTGAGCAGAGTTCATGGACTTTAAAGAAGTTACTCAAATGAAAAAGTTTCTTATTCCAGCACTCCACATCCAGTGTAGCTGTAAATTGTCACCAGGAGAGCTGTTGGGAGGTTTTATGCAATAAGTACTGCTACGTGAACTGAAACTCTGACACTTCCTGATTTGTTCTTTAAATTGCACAGCAGGTCTTATGTAATGTCCACATCAAGTCTCACATTTTTGCATTTAGTATGTATGCTTTACTTAATGAACTGCCTAGACCTAAAATTTGCTCCTTGAAGATGACTACTGATGAACCCCTTGGAAGCAAGTGATTCTCCAAAAAGTAACACCCCACATTTTTTGCATTATTACCCTATGTGATATTGAGCTGAAGTACAGAAGCCCTTATTTCTATCAGGAAAAAACAGAAAAGCATAACATCTTGGAAAAAGGCAGCAAAGACCAATTAACAACTTCAACCAAACACCTTTCACATTTTTCCTTCACACTACCCAAACCCTCCTCTGTACAGAATAGCAGTTACAGGAATGTAATACATCCATCAGATCCTTGCAGCATCTTTGTTTATGCATCATCTCTGACTATATCCTATAATATCAACTATTTCCTTCATCCTTGCTACTATATTAGGCAGTAACAACTATGGCACTTCACTGCAACGCATACATCTAAGAGTGTGTTTCTAATGAACCCATCACTGTTGTTCAAGGAAATCACTCCTTGCTACAGATCTCACTTTGGTGTCTAATTTAATTGAGAAAGCATAAAAACGAACTGAACAAATATCAACTCCTCACTAGAGCTGTCAACTGCAAAGAAGCCAAATTTAGAAATTCTGCACTGGTTCCTCACTGATTAAATGCTATGTTTCAGCATCTTTGCTATGAAACTCAAAAACCATCACTGCCTTCTACATATGGCAGTTTTGCTCCACTCAAAGTACCACTCTGAGCAATTCTGACTCTGATTATGAGCAGAAACTTCACTGAGACAATGGAATCTACAAAAATAACCATGGACTGCACCAAGTTTTCATCCTAATCCAAGTGGAAAACTGCTCACTATGTTGCCTGATAACTCACACTGCAGCCCAAGACCTCTGCCTTTTTGCCTTCAG